GACCATTGTAATAGTTTTTAGGATCCCTCGACAGGTCAGTCCTAGAACTGATGAGAGGAAGAGCCGATATCTCACTTTGTTGAGATATCCGCTTCAGATTCTTGTCTCCTTGGTGAGACGAGAATTCTTATTATTGATCTTTCTCTCTTATTGTGCACCAGAAACTCTGCCGAAATTTCCGCTGCGCACAACACCTAGTTTTATAGTTTTTTAGTAAATATTCAAACAATTGGGTTGAATGTACTCATTTATAAATATAATATTACATAAGGGTTTTTATGTTTCTATTAATAGTTTTTATATATTATGTTTTTTAAGGGGCTAGTTGTGAAAGGAAATTTACTATGGGGTTTATTGGAAGTGGAAAACTAATATAAGAGAGAAAATGAAACCCTAGCATCATACCTTCAGAAACCGCAGCCAATAAAAAAGAAGAATAAAATGAGAAAGAAAACATGTTGTGGCCAGAGAAGAATAACTGAGGAAGAAAAGGGGTTATATTATTAGATGGACTAACTTTGGAAAAGTGAGTTGCCAATACTCTTTCGTAGTAGATTCTGTGCTCTCTACCACTCTTCTTATGAGATCGAGGTGATCTTTTCAACATCAATTGGCAAATGCTTTTGCTGCTTTGTCATACTTATTGAAGCTTAGAAAATAATAATAACTCAAATCTCTTCATAGGAACGACACATGGGAGTTTGTCGAGCTTCCAAAAGGACGGAAGACAATTGGTTGCAAATGAGTGTATACGAAGGAAGAGAGCATTGAAGGCACTCCCATGAGGTTCAAATCTAGGTTGGTTGCGAAAGGCTATGCACAGAAGGAAAGTATTGATTATAATGAGGTTTTCTCTCCGGCGGTGAAGCATTCTTCGATTCAGATTTTGCTAACTTTGGTAACACATTATGGTTTAGAGTTAGATCAGTTGGATGTAAAAACAGCATTTCTTCATGGTGATCTTAATGAGGAAATCGATATGACTCAGCCATTGGGGTTTCGAGCTGCAGAGTAGGGTAAGTTGGTTTGTACAGAGCCAGATTTAATTATCACATGCAGTGAGCATGGTTTCGAGATACATACACGACCCCGGTCCGGGTCATTGGGATGCTGTGAGTAATTGTTGAGGTCATTCGCGACCATTTTGATGAACTACGGGTAGCTTGATCCCTTGGGAGAGGGGGTACGTAGGCAACCACATTGGTGCAGCCGGATTTGGAAAGACGACACATTGATGCTCTTGTTGGTGTCGGTTCAGTTTTGAAAACACTTCGCTGATGTGGAGAATTATTGGATAGCAGGTTCCTAATCTATTTTGGTAATATGTTATTGGGGTTCCTAAACTATTTTGGTAACAGGTTATTAGGATTCCTAATATATTTTGATTTTGGTTTTAAAATTCCTAGTATGTTTTTGGTTTTAGGATTTCTATATATATGGAACGTTTTAGAAGAGAAAATTAGAAGAGAGAATTAGAGAGAGAAAAAGAGTCTTTTGAGCATATTGAGAGGGATATATGTGAGGGAGTTGAGATTTTTAGTTATGGTTATATTTGAGAGATTATGTGAGTTGTAACATGTTGTATTTCTCCTCCATATAGTAAAAACTCCCTATCCTCTCCTCGTGAGCGTAGACAATTTGTCGAACCACATAAATTCTCTGTGTTGGTTTGATTTGTGAGCATGCTTCCGCACGGCGCGCAACAATTATGAGATGGAGGAGGTGAAGCGTGTTTTGAATTGGGGGGGGGTTGTGTGTGTGTTAAAGAATTGAAGAGGATTAGTGGTATAATTAGTTGTGAATTAAATTTAGTAGAGATGGAAAATTATTAAGCGAGCCTCATGTGCTTTAGCCCTTGCACTTTCACCTTCAAGTCAAAGTCAATCCCCTTGGAGACAACCCACTTAACATGTAACTCATAGCTAGTCATTAATCATACATAGTTAATAAAGATAGTACATAATTAGAAAGACTCTATCATAATCATTTTTACTCAATTATATAAATGGATATTTTGGATGAAGTAATTGAGTGATTATTGCATTCATATATACTCAACTAGTTAGTGATAAACTCGATATAAGAGTTCCATAAACCATTCTCAAAGACAGCAATTTGTCAGAGATTATAACTGGGTAAATTTTGCAAAAATTCCCAAAACTTTTATCCAAAATCTAAAGAAAAGGGTTTTTCTATGCGAGTCCCTTAAATCTTTCATGTTTTTTAAATTAATCTCTCGAATCATTGAAAATCCTATTAGGCCCCCAATTCTTAAGTTATCTGGAATTTTATCCCTTCAATCAAGAGTAAAAATAATAATTAGAGTGACTAATTTAAAATAACTTAGTAGAAGTGTGTGCGCGCATTTTTTTTGGGTTGGGCTAATTTCAAATTGAAAAAAGATTTAAAAGACTAATATCTAGAAAACCACAAACAAATACCATTAACTTTTTTAATACTAAAATAGTGATCAACGACAGCTAATTTAATCAGCCCATTTCATATTTTGAATAATTTTGGACCCCACATAACTAATACATCTACTATATCGGATAAGGTTAGTAGATAATAGGGTAAATATCAGAAGGGAAAAAAACTAACTTTTATATTTTGTTAAAAAACCCTTTTAACTTTCAGATTTCATCCCCTAATTTAGGGAGTTTTCTCACAAAATCTCAAAGTTAAAGGGGTTTTCTGATAACCCCTAAACTTAAGAGGGGTGTTCTAATATTTTAAAAGTTAAGGGTGTTTTTCTGACAATCATCCAAAGTTAAGTGGTTTTATGATTTTTAGCCTAGATAATAATAAGAATGGTTTACACGTTTTAGCCTCAAGTTAACAAAATCTATGTAGGATTCGCATAGCTCATGATAGTTTTCTATTTGCACTGTGAGGGCTGTTTGTTTGTCCAAAAAAAGAGGGAAATCAAAGAATAGGAAACATATTTCTTAGAAATTTTATTTTGAGGTTGTTTGGTTGAAAAAAAAAAGAAGGAAATTAAAGAATAGGAGATGGGGATGAGATGAGTTGTCGTCGTATTATTGGATGATGTGAGTGATTTTTTAAGAAAACTTGTTTTGATGTTGTTTGGTTGGCTAAAAAAATAAGGAAATGTATTATAAGAAACCTATTTCCTATAATATGTTCTTTTCTTGTGTTTGGTTCATTCTTAAAAATAAGAAAATAGATAAGATGAGTTGTCATTATATTATTGGATGATGTGACCCACACTTAAGGAAATCAATTTCCTTGTTTTTTTGGAGGAAATGGGTGGAGAAGAAAGTTTAAGGAGATGAGATGAGTTGTCACCATATTATTGGATGATGTGATTGATTTTTAAATATGAGATAGGATGAGATGAGATGAGTTGGATGATGTGATGATAAAAATAATATTTTATTAGATGTTGGATGATAAAAGTAATATTTTATTGGATGAGTTGGATGATAAAATAATATGTTATTAGATGAGTTGGATGATAAAATAATATTTTATTGAATGTTGGGGTAAGTTTGGGGCTGTTTGGTTGGTTTCCTAAAAACCAAGAATAGGAAATGGGAGTATGGAAATCTCCCATTTCCTATTTTCAACCATTTCCATCCCTAAAACTTACCCCAACATTTAATAAAATATTATTTTATCATCCAACCCATCTAATAAAATATTATTTTATCATCCAACTCATCCAATAAAATATTACTTTTATCATCCAACATCTAATAAAATATTATTTTTATCATCACATCATCCAACTCATATCATCTCATCCCATCTCATATTTAAAAATCAATCACATCATCCAATAATATGGTGACAACTCATCTCATCTCCTTAAACTTTCATCTCCACCCATTTCCTCCAAAAAAAACAAGAAAATTGATTTCCTTAAGTGTGGGTCACATCATCCAATAATATAGTGACAACTCATCTCATCTCATCTATTTTCTTATTTTTAAGAATAAACCAAACACAAGAAAAGAACCTATTATAGGAAATAGGTTTCTTATAATACATTTCCTTATTTTTTTAGTCAACCAAACAACCTCAAAACAAATTTTCTTAAAAAATCACTCACATCATCCAATAAAATGACGACAACTCATATCATCTCATCTCCTATTCTTTAATTTCCTTCTTTTTTTTCCAACCAAACAACATCAAAATAAAATTTCTAAGAAATAGGTTTCCTATTCTTTGATTTCCCTCTTTTTTTAGACAAACAAACAGCCCCTTTTTAGGGATGGAAATGGTTGAAAATAAGAAATGAGAGATTTCCATGCTCCCATTTCCTATTCTTGGTTTTTAGGAAACCAACCAAACAGCCCTGAGAAGACACCTGTGGAGGAAAAGATCACACTGCCACAAAACAAAGGCCAATAGAATCAAAATCCAAGTTTGCTTGATCTTTGAAAAGAAAAGAAGTTTCTAATTACGTAAGGACTTAAAACTTACAAAAATCCAGTCAATCGTGATGATTCGACTAACTAAAGATCAAAGGAAAAGGACTTACTGCAAAAATATAGACAAGTTTGGTTCCAGTGAACATGCAAAAGAGCCATCTGTTCACGGAGGACTTGAATAAAGCTTTGACATTGGAAATTATAATACAAATCCTCATGAAAGTAGAATACCCAAATCTGAATTGTCTTGAGTAAAAAATTAAGCTGGCTTATACTTGTTAATTGTTCCATAATTTAACACTGATACAGCATTTAAATTTAAATTCCTATCATATTTTTTTTTAAGTTTCTTTTATTATGTTAATTGCTATACATTGGAAAATGCTCATTTTTAAACTAAACACTCAAACCACTCTTTTAAATCATAAATTTTAAATTGAAAATGATCTTAAAATAACCAAACCCATATCTAACGAGTTTCAAGAAATGGACATGAAGTGTAGGATATATGTCCAAGAAGCGTCCAACAAGTACTATAATCAAAATATGTCTCATATAATTGATTAAATGTCCGAGTAAATGTATGCATATATCTAAAAAGTGTCCATAAAGCTTGCGCATGGGTGAGTATCGGGTACGAGTACGGCTTCACGATACAAGTACCAGGTAACATAGGATCCCTCCATATTTCTTCCACCTTCACTTTATTTCCAACTTTTAAGTAGTCCTTATGCAGCAATATATATACTTTTCACAATCCCAGTAGATAATGTATGTATACACTGAATCAGACATGGTATCTTCATACACATTATACACACACACATATACAAATTCTCCTTCCCACCTTATAATGTTTATCCTTATTATGTGTGCATATATTTGTACTAATAATATGCAAGATACACTGCATAACAGTATTCACTTGGCAGAAACTTGAACAAAGGAAACTGTTGCTGTCGATGCATTTTTATCAGAACCGCCATCGACACCAGCGAAGGTAGGCTTCGTGGGATGTAGAAGAGGCCTGCTTTCACTCAGGAGATATACTACTACGTCAGTCATTGTCGGCCTCAAACAAACTGTCAACTGAGTGCACAATAGAGCTATTTGTATTATTCTCATTACTTCATCTATGTTATGTGTATCGAAACAAATGGATTCATCGACTAGCATGATTGAATCACCACTCTCGTATAGTTTCCATGCCTGTTTAATTAACCGGTAGAAAATTAAAGGCGAAATTCTAAGTAGTTCACTATGAAAACACAGGAAAAGAGGAAAGGAAAATAGTAACAAAATTTCAACACATTGCAGCTATGGAAGCATACTGGAACTAAATAATATGTTGAAGACATGTTTTATTATGAGAGAACAGTTGTGATTACCCATTCAAGGAGGTATTGAGCTTCATGTTCAAGCCCTGCGGCATTGATCTTTCTTCCGCTAATTATCTCCAGGACAACAACTCCATGGCTGTATGTATCAACTTTCTCAGATAACTGGCCATGAATAGCATACTCAGGTGCAGTGTAACCCCTGTACAAATATCACAGTTTATATAAGAATAATGAGACAAGACAAAAGGGGGAAGTGATTGAAAAAATGTATATGAATAACTCAGCAAATGGACATTGTTGGACCAATTTAGACATACAGCGTTCCAGCAAATTTGGTACTGAGGTGACTTTGATCACCAGGTGGAAGCCTTGCAAGCCCGAAATCCGCAATTTTTGGCAGGAAATCATCATCCAGTAACACATTGCTAGGTTCTCTCTATGTATAATGCAGACATGGAACCCTTGATGCAGATATGCTAGCCCCCTAGCCATGCCAAGAATTATATCAAATCTTTGTTTCCAGTTGAGAGTTCCAAGTCTTTCACCTGTGAAAAAAGGCAGGGTTTAACTCAAGAAGCAAGATGAATAAATAAAACAAAACCTACAGACATCAGGTGAAGAAAAAGGATATTGTCAATATTTTTATAGGTTAATCGTGGATAGACCCCCAATAAATCACTAAATTAAATAACTACCCCTGCAGTTATATTGTTGCAAATAAACCCCCTGAAAGAGTCCTATTGTTGCGGATAGACCCATGTACAAGTTCAAGTGTTGCAGATAGAACCCCCCCCCCCCCCCCCCAAAAAAAGTGAAAACCTATCATTGCAGACAGACCCTCTGCAAGAGTTCTATGGTTGCAAGTAGACCATCTGAGTAAAAATCTATTGTTGCGGATAGGCCCCCTGAAAAGGTCAAAAAAATTTCAGGGGATTTATATGCAATAATAGAACTACATGAAAAGCAAGTTCAATTTGGCAATGGTACAAGGGGCCCCACCGCAACTAGCCGTATTTTGTATGAAATAACAATGATAATCAAATTATAAGCTGCTTCATTGGTCAAGCTGAAAGACAGTACCAAATAAGAATTTATCTAAGCTGCTATTTGCCATGTACTCGTACACGAGCAGCAAATCAGGACCCTTGCTAGAACATCCAAGAAGGCGAACCAGGTTTCGATGATGAACATTGCTTATAAGCTTCACTTCGCTCTCAAAACCCGCCTTGGGCACTGAGCTATTGACAATTTCTTAACAGCCACAAGCTTACCATTACTTAAAACACCCTGTAATTTCATCAAAGCAGAAACACAAGACTAAGCATTTACTTTTATAAGGAAGATACTGACATATCTCCTTTCTGATAGATAAACATAGTGATATATTAAAAACAACTATTTCCTTCTCATTCTTTCCAACAATATACGTCTGAAATAAACAACTCTTAAGTTTCTACGCCAACAATTATAATGAAAGTATAGGTCCCCTTACTTTATATACATCTCCAAAGCTTCCTTTGCCAAGTTTAGTTTCTTCACTAAAATTTTTTGTAGCAGATTTCAGATCATTGTAATGGAAGTTAAGATCATTGGAATTCTGTTGCCCCCAATATATCACCAGTACAAAAGAAAATTAAAAGGTTATCATTGGAAGCTTGTAAAGGGAAGAATACCTGGTCCTTGAAATTCTGTTGACCTATTCTCTCAATGAACTAGACAGACAAATATAGCTCTATACTAATCATTGGAAGTCCGGAAAATTAAACAGTTAAGGTGTAGCTTTATACTCATCCAAATCTACACTTGTTTTCCTATGTTCTAATGCAAAGCAATTATAGATTGGACAAACCTACTCAGTGATTCCAAAATACAGAAATCTATTGTTATCTGTTAACGCATAAACAGTAACTGAGGAAAATAGGATATAGAATCCTTACAAGTGACAAACCCATAGTATTATTAAGCAATGACCGAAATGCTTAATAAATACTGTGAGTTGTAAATTAAAATTATGCCCTTGATTTATCACCTGTACGAGCCTTCTTCAGCTTTCTAGTCCTGATCCACAAGAATAACACAAGGCAAAGAAGACAAAGACCTATAACTCCTCCAGTGACTCCTCCAATAATTGCCCACTTGTTGCTTGACCCCCCTGATGCAAAATTACATTCAAGTCACTTAAAGCGTCTATTGTTAGATCCAAGTTCTGAAAGTCCATATCCTCCCTTACATATAGGAAACTGAGTATGAAGACTGAAGAGACTTATGGCAGTCACATGATGAATGTTGTCAAAAATAAAAGATAGAAACATGAAATTAATAGTTTTTTCTTATTCAATTTATTAACGGGAAAAATTATAATTTCATACATTCCTTAATTTCTGGAAAAAAAATCTGAATATACTAACCTCTAATGAAAGAATACATGTCAAAAATTGTTCAGCTCAAAGAATCTCGTGACAACAATATTATGTTTTAATATTAGATAATCTTTTTCCAGAATAAGTAGCAAACCCAGTTATAGTTCATGTCCAGATGAAATTGGGGGTGGTGACGGGTGCAGATAACCCAGTAATGCGATCTATATCCAATCCAAATTTTCAGAGTAAGATTCTTAGAATCATATTGTTTGATAATGTATGTTGTTATGCAGACATTGCAGAGTGTGGGATGTGGATCCTAGAAATAGAACAGCTTTTTCTTATCCGAAGATGATACAGACATTTGAGAATCCAAGCTTCTGTTGTTGTAATACTCTGTATCTAGTTATTTAATTTTTGACTGAGATCTCATGTTTGGCGCCATCTCCATACCTACTCTTTTTTTTTTAAAAGAAGAAAGAATAAGAAAACATGTTTTATATTACTAAGAAAGTGAATGAAAACTGATTTATGTGCAACAAAAAAGAAGTCATCCTCCTCCCTCAGGGATTTGGATCCTCTCAAAGTAGTGGAACGACCACTTCTTTTAATACGAGCGGTTGATTATTTAATGGACAGTGATGGATAATTGTAATCCATTCCAAAATAACACTTATCATCTCCCCCATAAATTGCACACGTTCCTATTTTACATTCAAAAAGAAAAATATGAGAAAAGCAAGTAGTAGAGAGGATCCAAATCCACGCGCCTCTCTCAGTACTCATACATATTATTCCTCATTTGGACGTAGTAGCCTAATTACCGAAATCATAACAATCTCTCTTGTCAAATAAACATTTCGCTCCATGTAGGACCTCTCTCTTATTAGGCTCCTTGCTTCCAATTGTGAAGAAAAAGATTTCATTTCCAGTACATCCATCCATCCAATCTGTCTGTCTATAAAATATCCCTCAATTTAAAAACATTTTTGCTTTTAACTCTAAAATCATTGTAATAGCTAATCTCTTTCTTATTTGTTTTCTTCATTCAATCTTACCCCCAATCTAAGTGTTAGATTCTCTAGTCAGAATATTTCATTATATTTTATTAAACTTAAGGGATTGTTTGGTTAGGGGATTGTAACTTAATGCATGCTACGGATCTAGAAAAGTTCATCCTCAAAATCTCATTTGTTCGCATACATATTGAAGAGAACTTGATGAAGGACAAATCCAACCAAAAAATTCTTGTTTGGTTGCACACGATCAATTTGTTGAGGATAATATGGTATAATATCTCTCCTTTTCCTTTTCTAATGAGTATAGATAAAAATCAGAGTGAAATCAGCATAGGTTTAGGGAACTATGATTGATACAACTATCCTACATGTCAGCCCAACTTCATGATACAAAAAATCCTAGCCAAAATTTTTATTTTAATAAAAAATCTGGATTTTAATCTTGTGGGTCCCATTTTTTGAATTTGAAGTTGAAAATTCTCCACCAAGTGTAAGGAAACAAACTACCCTATTCAATTATTTCATAAGTTGCTAAATTAAAAGTATCTTTGGGCTCTGGAAACCCCCCCCCCCCACCCCAAACTATCAAATTTGGCTCTTCATACCCCGTGGACTATTTTTTGTCTAATCTTACCCCCTAAACTATTAATTTCATCAATGCATCTAAGTTTACCCCCGAACTATCATTTTCCTCTCTAAATCCATTTAAAATACCCAAAATGAAAAGTGGTAATGAGGTAATTAAAGTGATTGTTCAAGGGGGTAAGCAGGGACAAATTAAATAGTTTTGGGAGTAGGGATGAAAAAATAGTTCAGTGGCAGTAAGTAAAAGATGAATTCAATAATTTAAAGGATGTGTATAGACTGAAAATAGTTCACAGAGTATGAGAGACAAAGTAAATAGTTTAGGGGGCAACTAGGGTACGAAGCCTTATTGTGCCCATAAACTGCTTAAATTTTAACGGTACTTAAATTTAGGGAACAAAACAAACTAGGTGAGGAAAAAATATATAGCTTGGAGGTATATATGAAAACTACAACATCAAATGAGAATTTTAAGAAGAAATATCCTACATCTTACAGTCATATTCATAATTAGTTCACGTGATTCCAAGTAATTCTTTTAAGATCAACAGTCTAATACCTCCCAAAAAAATCAACCTCTGAGTACCTCATAAAACATAGCATTCACCGCCCTCTGCTCGGACTCTGGCAAGCACTCATTCGCATTTGCATATGACGTCGTCAAACAATCCCTACACCCTCCTACACTCACCGTCCTCACACATTGCACCACCACATAAACTCTTCCTCTCCTTGCCGCCGCAAAGGACCCATCAATCCTCAGCGTCCTCAAACTAAAATCCCTCAACAAACCCTCATCACCACCAAAACCTAATTTCTCGCTTGAGTTCCACACAAACCGCCATTTTTCCTCTGATGGAGGCTTGGGTCAAGAGACGGGTGATTTTGTAGCGGAGGAAGCAGTCGTACGTGCACCTCTAGCGAGGCGACAGGAGCAAAGAGTGGAGACAGCAACGGAGAAGCAGGAGAGGCAATCGGGGGAGGAGAGGTAGGGGTAGTAGTAGAAGAGGGAGTAGACAGTATTGGTGGCACAGCCGAAGGCTATGACGGCGGAGGAGTTGATGAGGTAGGTTTGGAAGGGGAGGGATGAGTTGAGGGAGGAGGCTATAGGATTAGTAGAGGAGGATTGTCGGCGACGGTTAGGGTTATGAGAAGGAGGAGGAGGGTATTTTGGGAAGGATATGGTGGCGAGCAGGATGAGGACCACTGTTGGTTGTTAGAGGGTGGAGGGTGATGGGTGGGGTTTTATGAAGGAGTGGTGTTAGGGGCACACCCCAACCACACCTTCCACCACACCTCCTCTTCCTCTATAGTGCATTGGGTCTCACATCAAATTTTTTTTAAAAATTTGATGTAGGACTCAATGCACTATAGAGGGAGAGGAGGTATGGTTGAGATTGTGGTTGGGGGTGTGTCCCTAACATTTCTATTTATGAAGAGAGAAATGAATGTTAGGTTTTGGAAGACGTTGACGACAATGATGAGTAGCAAAACACAGAGAAAGAGATGCTGCAATCTGTTGTTCGCTACTGAAAGAGAGGTCGCGGTCTACCGTTCACTACTGCTTGTTCACACGTTTTTGAAGGTAGAACTCGATTAGTTTGGATACATTTTTTAACGAGCGGAGGCAAAGGGTTTGAAAGGTTACGATGTTAACCCTTATAAATTGTGTTTATTTAGAAATTACAGGGACATGTTATATAGAGGGGAATAGAAAAGAAGATAATGTAGGGGAACCTATTCATCCTGTTTAGAAAATTTTTAAGAGGAAAAGTGTTCCTCCTCATTCCCAAAGATTACCCTAGGAGTATGACTCATAGGCATCTTATCAGGCTCTTTTTAACGATCCTTCTTTACTCTAAACAAACATAAATTGCACCGTGCCTTCTCCTCCCCTCCTCCTCTCTCCAAACACAATTAATTTTATTTTGTTCATTTCCCTGTCATCCCCTTCCCTTGGGTTTACTTGAATCACTCGCCTCTCCTGCTATTCTGTGTATAAAAATGCCACAAAGTTTCCATTATGTAGCACATAAATACTACAAGTTGTATTTTGCAGAAAGAAATACCATAATGTTTTAAATTACAACAACAAATGAGAATTTTAAGAAGAAAAATCCTATATCTTACAGCTATATTCATAATTACTCCACCTGATTCCAAATAATTCTTAAGATCCACAGTATGATACTTCCCAAAAAAATCAACCTCAGAGTACCTCATAAAACATCCAGCATCCACCGCCCATCCCTCAGGGCTTGTTTGTATTAAGGGAAATGAGACAGAGCGGAAGGTAGGGTAATGTCTAACCTTGTTTGGGAATTGAGGGGTGAAAGCAAGGGAATGGAGGGGAGAAAACCCTAATTTTTCTACCCCCCCCCCCCCAATTTGGGGTGTAACCGGGGTGAGGGTAAAGAGGGGGAACCAAATAATTGTAGATGGATAAATTTACCTCCTATTTAATTTCTAATAACAACATAGCTTAATAACATATAAGAGTATTTATATCAATTTATATACATTCTCTTCCCTTGCCTTCACTTTATTACACTTTCTAAACGGGGTGAAATAAGTTCCCATTGATTCACTTTACTAATTTCTCAAAACAAGTTTTACAAGTTACCTTACATTCCCATAACTTCTCCTAGATTCCGCTAACTTTCCTTCACCCCCTCCAAATCCAAACAAGCCCTCAGTCTCCAGCAAGCACTGCTTCGCGTTCGCATATGCCGTCGTCAAACAATCCCCACACCCTCCTACACTCATCGTCCTCGCGCATTGCCCGCCGCATAAATCCTCTTCCTCTCCTTGTCGCCGCAAAGTACCCATCAATCCTCGGCGTCGCCAAACTCAAATCCCTCCAACAAATCCTCAACATCACCAGGAAACCCTAATTTCTCTCTCTAGTTCCCACAAACCGCCATTTTCCCCCTCATTGAGGTTTGGGTGAAGAAAGGAGCGGTTCTGTAGCGGAGGAAGCAGACGTCGAAGACGACCACAGGGCGCCTTGTGAGGCGGCAGGAGCGGAAAAGTGAGACGACGACAAAAGAAGGCAGAGAGGTAAGGCGGCGCGGTAGAAGAGGGAGTAGACATGCGCCGGTGCGCGTCCGAGAACGCCGTGGCGGAGGAGGAGGAGGAGTTGAGCTGAGATCGGAGATCGATGAAGGAGGAGTTGAGGGATGAGGAGGAGGAGGAGATGGTGGCGTTGTAAGGGCTGCAGTTATTGTAGAGGAGGTTTTTTGGGGGGGGTCGCCGGCGGCGAGGGTCAGGGTTAGGAGGAGGACGAGGAGGGGCATTTTGGGAATGATTTGGGAGGGTGGCGGATGAGGATCATTATTTGTTGTTAGGCGGGGTTCGTGGGGCTTTATGAGGAGGGAACTGAATGATAGTTGTTAAGCTTTGGAAGTCATTGATGACATGATTGAATAGCAAAACGCTGAGAGAAATAACAAAACACGATAATCTTTAGGGTGTGTTTGGATTTCAACCGGGTTAAGGGAAATTAAGGGAAAGAACAAAATTTTGAATTAAACCCATTTAATTTTTTTATTATAAAAATCGACTCAATCATCTTTTTATTAGCAAAACCGACCCATTTCGTGCCACGTTAGCAGCGTGGCCACGAAATGGGTCGGATTTTTTTTAAATGACGCCGCTAAATAGTCGGGGTTGTCAACCCCGACTATTTAGTTATGTCGGGGGGGGGGGGCCCGACTATTTAGCTATGGGCAAGATAAAATAGTCGGGGTTTCCAACCCCGACTAATTTAGGCCCCTCTCTAATTGGTCGGGGTTGGCAACCCCGACCATTTGGAAAGTCCATTTCAAAATGGTCGGGGTTCCCAAACCCGACTATATGGCAGAGACCTCTGGCCCAGTCGCCGAGCGGTAAAAACGGCTAAGTGACAATAGTCGGGGTTCACAACCCCGACTATTTGTTCACTAGGCCTGCGACCTATATAAAGGTCACGACTTCACTCCTCCCTCCTGTTCGGTTCCAGCCGCCTTTCTCTCTCATTTTCGTCGTTCTCCTCCTCCCAAACTCTCTTTGAGCCACGGATCGCAGCTTTCAACCTCAAGTTTTGTGCGGAATTTTAGGGGTGAAAGATCTAACAGGTACTTTCTCTCCCTTCCCTCCTCTTTTGACACGTAGAAATCTAGGGTTTTCTCTCCAAAACGAATTTATAGTGTTTGAACTCTATTTGTAGTGGTTTATTTAGAAATTTTATTCTTGTTGTAGTTGAAATTAAATATTTGGGGGCATAGAATACTCAATTTTAGGGTTTAGAATTTGAGGGTCAATTTTAGGGTTTAGGATTTGGGGGTTTACAGTTGTAATTGGGTTTTAGGGTTGTAATTAGGTTTTAGGGTATTAATTGATAATATTTTTAAATTTTTTGCATTTAAATGATATAATTTTGATTTGCATAGGTTGAACAGTATGATTTTTATTGCTTGCTCTTATGATGGAACGATTAAGTATGGAATGAATAATACGCCAATGTACGTCGGAGGGGTGACAATCCCGTTAATGATATCGGAATCATACAGTTACCTTGACTTGGTTAATGAATTGCATGGACTTACGACAATTGACCCACGAGATTGCCGGCTAAAAATAATATGCAATTGGCCGATAACTTATGATAGAACGTTCGCAGTTGAGATCTCAAACGATCATTCGATGAGTATTTTGTTTAATTTGAGCAAGTCACAACCAACGGTAGAATTGTTTATTGAAACGGTGCCACATAGTATGGGCCGAATATTCAACCCTCCAGGAGAATTCTCACGCATGTTAGATTTGGAAGTTGAGTCTGAAGGCTTCCTTTCTTCTTCGAGTGAAATACAGTGGACTCAAATTCAATATAAGGGTGGTGCACCTTCATATGAAGGTGATGAAAGAAGCGATGCCTCTGATGGTGAAGATGAAGATAGTGCACCACTTGACAGCATGCAATTTGTGGGTGAAGATGATGAAGAGAATTCGGATTGGCCAGATGAAGCTTATGTTAATAATGAATATGTTGAGTACGAAGAACCACCCCCCGACGAGTTTGAGGATGATGAGTGGGTTCGTTCTTCCACAGTACATGATATCCGCATTGGCGAAAGTTCATCCAATAGAGGAGATGAGGAGGAGGTCCCTTTCATAGTTGGTGAATTATTTGAGACTAAAGACCAATTGGTTGATGCTATTCGTGATTACTAAATCAAAAAGTTGGTCAAATTCAAGCAAATTAAAAGCAATCGTACAAGTTATGAGGCAATCTGTTTTATGAATACACAAAGGCAAGGTCGGGCAGAGGGGAATGAATCTGATTACGCATGTCCTTGGAAGTTATATGCATTTGCCGGAAAGAAACATAACGGGTATTTTAGGATCACAAAATACTGTGGTGTTCATACATGTAACAATCCAATGTTCGAGAGAGACCACAGTGGTGCCTCCGCCTCTTACATAGCTCGGTTGATTATGCCAAGATTAAAGAAGAAGCTTGAACTAAAGCCCGATGACATAATTGAGAGAGTGTCACATGATAAGCCAAGATTAAAGAAGAAGCTTGAACTAAAGCCCGATGACATAATTGAGAGAGTGTCACATGATAAGTGGGTTGAAATATCGTATATCAAAGCGTGGAATGCAAGGAGAATTGCGATGACAAAAATATTTGGTGGTTAGGAGAAGTCTTACGCGACTCTGCCTCAATATCTTGATGTGATCAAAAGAAGCAATCGTTTATTCTAAGTTATTGGTTGTTACTGAACATTTGCACCGTTTATTATATGCAGGCCCCGAGCATTACTATCGTTGATCACACTCGTGCACACTCGAGCTGGGAGTTGACCGATCCACATGTCCAATATTATGTCCGTCAAGCATGCTTCTTTGAGTGCTCACAAATTAAATGGGTGAGACTTGATTGGGCTCTCCTGACGGCACTGGTTGAACGATGGAGGCCCGAGACAAACACATTCCACCTGCGCCAAGGAGAGTCGACGATTACATTGCAGGATGTAGGGGTTTTGCTTGGACTCCGTGTGGATGGAGATGCTGTCACAGGTAGCGACGACTTCAACTGATCAGACAAGTGTGAAGCATTGTTGGGTCAAGTTCCTCACATGAGGGGTGGAAGGATCAAACTTGAATGGTTGAGAAACAATTTTATGAATGTTCCGATCGATGCGACCGAGGAGATCGTCAAGATGTATGCCCGTGCATACATACTTCACATGATCGGTACTATTCTATTCCCGGATTCCACGAAGGATTCGGTGCACGTGAGGTGGTTGCCACTCCTGGAGGATCTTGTGGATTGTGGGGGATTGTCATGGGGGAGTGCCGTGTTAGCGTATCTGTATAGGGAGATGACCAAAGTGGCTCTTGTTCAAAACAAAGAATTCAAGGGTTGTCTCACTCTGCTACAGATATGGTCTTGGGAGAGATTGCATTTGGGTTGCCCAGATTTGAGAGAGGCACGTGCTCTCGATGGCCATATTCCGTTAGGCTGCAGGTATTACTAAGTTATTTTTAAAAATATATGATTACATGTAATTTTAAACATTTATTTTAATTTATATTAACTCATTGTATATAAATTAGATGGAATGTATCTAGATCTTGGCATACCTCACCAAAGGGCCATGAAAACTTCTATAGGAACGAGCTCGATCAAATGGAGGACGAACATGTATTAAATCATAATATCTAAAAAATTTCAGTCATTACATAATTTATTACTGAAATCTGCTTTACTTTATCTTTTTATAGGTCAAGTGGATGCCATATGAACAAGTTTTAGAGTCAACTACCAGATATATGCACAGAAGAGCGGATGTGTGGCGTGCTCGCGTCCCGATCATATGTTTTGAGATTGTCGAGATGCACGTGCCCGACCGTGTGCTCCGACAATTTGGGGTACAACAACATATCCCGAGCCCTGTGGAGATAATAGAGAGAAATCCCAGAAAAGGTGCACATCGTCAAGATTGGGAACATATTCACAGTGCTTGGGAGGTGGGATAACAGGGAAGAACAGTTGGTGATGGAGAGGGTTGACGCACCTGACCTAGGTGTGTATTTACGGTGGTATTGGGGGATTACTCGCCGGTGGATATTTCAGGATAACAAAGCCCCTAAGGAATACATACCAAGAGGCCCAGTTGAGAGAGAGTTGGTAAGTGTATAAGCAAAACCTAAGGAATACATACCAAGAGGCCCAGTTGAGAGAGAGTTGGTAAGTGTATAAGCAAAATATACAGTTATCTTGTGAGTTTTATTTTATTATCATCCAAATCATAATAGCTTTCTTGGGGTTTTTATCGTATAGGTACAAGAGCTCGAAGAACTTTCTACTATGGCGCATGATGCAATCCGAACGGCTACCGAGCCAGGGCCGAGGAACACGTTCCTTCGCATGTTCAAAAAGATTCGGTCCGCTCTTCAAAGGACGCGTAATGCAAGACGAGATGGACGTGAGGAGCGATCAATTGAGTACGGTCGTCGCCGGTTCCGAGGACACACAGGGGTAGGCTCAAGCGGTGCACATGATGAAGTTTGCGACTCACAGCAGGCCTAAGCCGGATGTTCACAGTCGGTTCAAGTCGATGAGGATGTCATGCACTCCCAACTTCACACACAACGGGACGAGGAACTGATCCGAGCTCACGTCAAAGGTGAACATGTCAGGGGGAGAGGGGGGAGAGGGAGAGGGAGAGGGAGAGGGAGAGGAAAGGGAGTTGTATCCGATTGAAACTGAATATTATGTATCTGGTTGAGTATTGATAGGATGTTTGCGTTTGAAACTAAATATTATGTATTCGATTGAG